CCTCCCTCCCTCCCTTCCTTCCTTCCTAACTCCTCTTCTACTTCTTCTCTCTTTGCATTATTTAATACTTTTTAGCAGACACGTATCAGCACAAGGTTTCACAGGCCCACTGAATAGCGACAACTACTTCCTGAGCACACCCCGGCACCCTGTGGCCCTGCTCCCCAGAGGCAGCCCCTGGGGTCCTGTGGCTGGTTCTCCTGGCGGAGGCCTCCCTGCACCTGCAGCAACAGCCCTTGCTTCGGTCCTCTCGCCTTATTCCCTCTGCCCCTGTTTCCGTTCTCATGTTAAAATATATACATGATCCAGCCTACTCTTACAGTACCCATTTGTTATTCAGAACAAAATATCCTATGGCGTTATATTCAGATCTATAGGATTGTCTCTCTATGGGTGGGCCCCTCCACCCTTGGTCTTGGGACCCTGGTGAGTTTTCCTGCTTCATTCCCTGGCTGCTAAGCACTTGTCTAGTCCAGCCTGCCCACACGGGGAGCCATCCAGGCCACCTGCCGAGAGCTCAGGTACAAGGGCAGGGCCTGAGGTCCACTCCCGGCCCTGAGAAGACGTGCAGCGCCTCTCCCAGAGGTCCACCTCTGACCGAGAACCTGGGAGCCAGGGGACCGCCGCTCCAGCTCAGGTGCCCCACTTCCTCCTGTGTTAATGGCACCTTCTTCTTGGGTTTGAACGTAGGCATTTATTTCATTTCTTCCCAAGTATTTGATTCATGATTTCTAAGTGTCCTCACAAGAGGACAGTCCCCCTCTTCTCTTTCTTCTACACGACTGACCAGAAGACTCAAGGGCCTGAGTCTTAATCCACATCCTTGATTCTCCAGAGTTGAATGCAGGCCCAACCACATTGATAATGTCTCCTACCTGAAGTATTTCAAACTAAATGTGGGGCTCCTGACCTCTAGGAATGTCATTCATTCACTCGTTCATACATTCGAGAAGACATATGACGTACTGACTACATGTTAGGGATTTTGCTAACTTCTAGGGAGCACTGGTGGTATCGTGTGGTCCATACGAGGCTTTCTACTCCCATACAAATTTACAGTCTTGGAAACCCACAGAGGCAGTTCTACCCTGTCCTCTGGGGTCCCTCTGGATTGGAAAAAAAAAAGTAAGAATAAGATAGAGTTTTCCCACCTCTATGGCTCCTGGTCATGGGGTCGCAAATAAGTAAAGAGGGGATGACAGCCCAGTACAATGTCGATGCCCTGTTGGAGTGGATATGGGCACCAGGAAGTTCTCCCTGAGATGCCTATCCAGACTGGGAGAGAGAGAGAAGGCTTCCTAGAAGAGGTGGTGTCTAAGCTGAGACATGGAGCATGAGTCGGATGTCCTCAGGCAAGAGGCTGTGGGGGGATAGGTTTCTGGTTTGGACAAGAGCACGTGTACAGGTCCAGGGGAAAGAGATACAATTGCATCTTCCAGAAACTGAAATCAGCTTAGAATGCCTGGAACATGGACGACCATAGTGAAGTGCTCAGAGGAAATGCCAAGCAACCTCATTGAAGAGGAGGCCAAGGCCATGTTGAGGATCCTGGACTTTAGCTTCAGGGAGCACAGAATTACCCAAGAGCTCAAGCAACAGAGTGACATGAGCAGATCTGTTCTGGGAAGATCAGTTAGTGTCCCTTGTAAAATGGTCTGCAGAGAAGTACAAGCGGCAGAGTGGGACCTGGTGGTGGCCTTGACCAAAGTTCTGGCTCGTAAGGTAGAGTCAACAAAGCTTGTTGACTTATGAAGTGTAGGCGGGAGGGACAGGATGGCCCAGAATCTGAGCATGAACCTGTGCCAGGGTCAGTGTTTGCAGGGGACCAGGTCAGGGGTCCTTGTGGGTCACGAGGGTGGGTCCCTAGGGGTTGTAAGAGAGAAGATGCTCCGCTTGCGGACAGGCTGAGGCTGGCTGGGTCTGCACGTCTCACTCAGTGTGACTAGGCATTGGTGTCACACATTCTGTTTGCACCACTGGAATTCCCTCCTGCTGGGGTGTGGAGACCGGGGAGTGGCAGTGGACAGCCCTTGGCCATCACTAGAGGAGATGGCGCTTTCCTGGGCCTGAGCTCCAGCTCAAGTTTACAAAATCTAGTGTTTGTCAAGAACCTTGGCTGTGGAATCAGACCCCGGCTCTGTCGCTGCTCTGCAAACTGAGGACATTTATGTAAGTGTATGGACGACCATTTATGTCCATTCCCAAGGATTCCCTTACCTTGTCTCACCACGGGGATGGCACAGCTTGCTTCGTGCTCATGTTTTGCACAGATGTGGAGAAGAAACGGCTCACACCTGTTGTTCAGCTCTGACTCGTAGAGACCCACGTGCAACTGAACAAAACACTGCCCGGTCTGCTCCATCCTTACCTCCGCTATGTTTGAGCAATCGTGTGAGCCCATCCCATTGAGGGGCTCCCTCTTGGCCTCTGACCCTCTCTTTCACCTGGTATGATGCCCTTCTCCAGGCACCAGGCTTTCCTAACACGCCCAAAATACATGAGAGTAAGTCTCACCAGCCTCACTTCTGAGGGCCGTCAGGACTGCGCTGCTTCCAAGCCGGGTTGGCTCATTCTCCCGGCAGGCCTGTGGCATCTTCCATTTGCTTTTCCCACACCTTCAATCAAAGTCATCAGTTCTCCTTTGGCCGTCAATTCTCAGCGCCCAGCTCTCACGGGCATATGAGGAGATAGAGAAGACCATGGCTTGGGCAAGGCCCACCCGAGTCCTCCAAGTGACATCGCTTGCTGTTTAACCTTTTAAAGGGGTCAGTTCTGAGTCATGGAGATCCTGATCTATATACAAGAGGGGAATTATGCTTCATCTCCCCTCACCCCACCCGGCCCCTCCAAAAAACCCCCCAAAATCCAAACTCACCTCATGGCGTAGACTCTAACTCATAGCAACGCTACATAATATCCAAGGTTGTCAATCATTCAGGAGCATAGCCTCATCTTTCTCCCCTAGAGCGGGTAGTGGCTTTGAACCCTGGCCCTGTGGTCAGCAGCTCAGTGCTTGCGGGTTTAGTAGACCGTGCCACCAGTGTTTTTTAGTAGCCCGTGCTCCCTAGTGTTTTTTTTCATTTCACTGGTTTGGGTTTTCGTTTGTAAAGAACCAACTTCCGAATCTGCTGAGTCTCTCTACCCCCATTCCTCGCATTGTCACGTGGGTGCTGCCAAACACCAAGGGTTAGGTGAAAACCCCTGATCTGTGAAAATGGAGGGTGATCGTATCATCACATCCCTGCTCAACCCAGTGATGACATAGCCACCGGATTACATCCACACAAGCCACCGAGAATCACCGCTCAGCCACGTTGGCAACCCCCCTTCTCCCTCCCAGCCAGGGTTATAATGCTCCCCTCTCCCCTCCGTGCTGGTTACTGCCAGATGTACATCCCCACGGCACGGAATAATCGGATGGTGGATTTTTTTTTAATTAGTGACTGAAATTCAAGCGGTCGTTAAATGAAGAAGTCAGTGAAGAGTAAGGGTACTGTTGTTCTCTGTTCAATTTTTTTCTTCGCTGCTCTGACAGCATAGGGTTTTTGGTGGCAGCTTTTTCAGGAGTCGATAGCCAGACCTTTCTTCCGAGGCGCCGCTAAATGGGCTCAAACTTCCACCCTGTTGGTTCGCAGCTAATCACACTAACTCCTGTGCACCCCCTGGGGACTCCTAAAAGGTGCTTGTTGTTAAGGGCTATCAAGTGGCCCCAAGTACAACAGACCCCTCAGTCCTTGCCCACCCTCACAATTGTCGCTACCTCTGAGCCCATTGCTGCCGCCTGTATGTCGATCCATCTTGTTGTCACAGAGGGTCCGCCTGACCTAGCGTGATGGCCTTCCTTCTCCAAGGACGACCTTTCCTCACAACCTGTCCAGAGTACACGAGATGAGGTCTCACTACCCTTGCTTTGTAGGACCATTCTGGCTGAACTTCTTCCAAGATCCATCTATTTGTTCTTTTGGCAGTCCGTGGGACTTTCAATGTTCCTCACCAGGGCTGCCAGCCACACATACCTTCTTCTTCAGTCTGAGGAGCACAAGGGGTTTAGCAGACGGGCATCCATTTGGGCCTGTTGAAAGCCAAGCGGTTCTGAAAGGGAATCGAAGCATGCTCTGGGCACTTCTTGTACTTGAGCGGCTGCGTCAGACCGAACCTTGGCCTTCTGATCCCCATACTGGTGTCATTGGCTTGCTTCAAATGTATTCCCGCGAGAAAGCCAGGCTAAGGTGGCATTGTGTCCGTCTGCCCAGAGCGGCTCTCTTGGAGAAGGGGTTCATGGTGCTACGGGTCTTGTGTCCTCAGCCAAGTGGAAGCATCCTTTCCATCGCTACCAGACGCAGAAGTGGGAGCGCTTCTTTGTGGACGCGAGGACGGCTCTCCGGGTCCCCATGATGCACCAGAAGGAGATGCACAGGTTCCTCTATGACCAGGAGCTGGCCTGCACCGTCCTGCAGCTCAAGTATAGTGGGAACGCCTGGGCCCTGCTGATCCTTCCCGACCCGGGCAAGATGGCACAGGTAGAGGCGGCCCTGCGACCAGAGACCCTGAGAAAATGGGACCAGCTGCTCCTGCCCAGGTAAGGTCAGTCCTCTTCGGAAGACCAGTCCTAGAACAACTCCGGTGGCAAGACCACACGCACCGTCACATCGCAGACCTTGGAAACTTTTCTCCCTTCTTCTCTTTGGCTGCAAATGTGAGGTCGTAAAACCCACCCACCGACTTGGGAAACTCCCGCATTGGCCCTCAGAGAGAACTTCGCAGGGTGCCCAGTGCATGCTCACTGCTCCCTTGGGTGGTGATCAGTGTTCCCCCGTCTGAGTCTCCTTCTGGCCCCAACCCCTTTCCTCTGGCTCCCCTCTTTCCACCAATCAAAATACATCTAGGGAACAAATAAGACCCAGTACAATTGTTGAGCACAATCTTGATGCCCGCATATCACTGTGTGTGTATGTGTGTGTGTGTGCACTTTGTGGTTTGAAACTAGCTTGCGTGCCACAAAAGCACTGAAGTGCATTTCCATTCTACTCCTCCTTGATAGCCCATCAGACCAGTGTCTAGATGGTGGGCAAGGAAACTGGAGGGAACTGGAGTGATTTTTAGGCTGTGACCCTCTCTCGCTCTCTTTTCTAATTATTTTTTTGTTTGTTTTCTTGTTTATCTGTGGGGGTATAACACACACATACACATCATACTAGTCATAGGTGCACAGCCCACGACATCAGAACCGTGGCAGTAGCCCGGTGATCCTCTCCCCATTGTAAGTGGCCCTTCTCCTCCTCCTCCTTCCGATTCTCCCTCCCGCTCTCCCTCCTTCCCCAAGCACAGTCTTCAGAGGTTGCCCATGTCACGAGGTGCCTGGCAGTCTCCCCCCTGATTTCAGAAAGGCAGACCACCCCATTATGGGTATGGACCAGAGTTTGTTTAACCCTTCCTCCCCCGATTGGGTTTGTTTGTTTGTTTCCATCTGCGGTGGATATTTCTAAAAGCTGCCTCTTCTTCGAATGAAAACATCTTTGACACCCATGCCAACGAGACCGTGATCAAAACAAAGCACCCTGTGGCACATTCCTCCGTGGCATTTCATCTCACTGGCCTTTATTTGGTTTGTCACGGCAAATCAGCTCTGTCTGGTCCCCCTGGGGACCCTTCTTAGGGTGCAGCCTCCTTTATGGGCTGAGCCTCGGTGTCATGGTGGCTACATGCTGGGCTGCTCACTGCAAGGCCAGCAGTTCGAAACTACCAGCTGCTCCCTGGGAAAAAGGGGAGGTTTTCTATTTGAATAAAGAGTTACAGTCTCAGAAACCCACAGGGGCCTCTCTACCTGTCCTGCGGGGTCGCTCTGAGTCAGCATCGACTCACTGGAAGTGAATGTTTTCCTTTATGGGCTGCTCTGAGGAACAGTCAGCCCCTGGGGTCTGGGTTCTTACTGCTGCAAAACACCGTCCCCCAAACCCACCACCTTTGAGCCAAGGCTGACTCATAGCGACCCTGTAGGACAGGGCAGAACTGTCCTGGTGGGCTTTCAGGACTGGTACTCTCTTTCTCTTTTGGTCAAGTTCACCCTTTAATGTTCCTGCACAGCAGTGCTATCCAATAATAAATATAGATGTACAAAGAGAACGTGAGCCCCCATTTAAATTTAAATGGTTTGAGTGCAACTATCCAATAGTAACTATAACCTAAAATATAAATGACCTAAAGGTTGGTAGTTTGACTCCACCCAGTAGTGCTTTGGAATAAAGGCCTGGCCACCTGCACCCATAAGATTATAGCCCCTGAAAACCCTGTGTAAATCACAAAAGAACAAATACTGTATGATCTCATTTCTATGAAAAGAGAACAGACAAATGTATGGGGGGTGTTCTTATTGAGTACTGAATTTCGGTTTGATCATTTTGATTAATAATTAAGGATATGGCTGCACAATCAATTATGGTCAGAGCTAGCTTTTCAGCTGTGCTGTTAAAAGTTGACTTGGCGAAGCTGTGTGTCTTTTTTTTTTTTAAACATTTTATTAGGGGCTCATACAACTGTTATCGCAATCCATACCCACATCAATTGTGTAAAGCACATTTGTACATCATTCTCAAAACATTTTCTCTCCACTTAAACCCCCGACATTAGGTCCTCATTTTCCCCCTCCCTCCCCTCTTCCCCCTCCCTCATGAGCACTTGATAGTTTATAAATTGGTATTTTGTCATATCTTGCCCTGTCCGACATCTCCCTTCACCCACTTTTCGGTTAGGACTGGTACTCTTGACTGGAGTAGAAAGCCCCATCTCTCTCCCAAGGAGAAGCTTGTGGTTTCGATCTGTTCACCTTGCTGTTTGCAGTTCAACTCCTAATCACTCTGCCTCCAGGGCCCCCTTGCTGCGGAACAAATCACTCCAAAATGGGATGGCTTCAGACAGTCTCTCTCTCTCTCTCTCTCTCTCTCTCTCTCTCTCCTCTGTGGGCTGACCGGGAATAGCTGAAGTCACAGGGATAAGGGATGAAGGTGGCCCGTGGGAGCTGTCTATAGGGACATGGTTGGGCTCAGGACACCGTTTGGCAGTCTGAGCGCACATCTCTTGCTGATGAAGCAGATTATGGAGGTGGGAGGATCTCGGCAGCACTTACCTAACAGGACTAGTAGGTGGGTTTGGTCAGCTGAGCCCACACAGGGCAGGGTGACGCAGACACAAGGCTGGGCCAGAGTTCTTCTCAGATGCAGCCCCGAGAGTTCTGGGATGCAGTACCTCCAAGACCCAGAGCCCTCAGGCCTCCGGCTGGGAAGCATCTCTTTCCCGCCACTCAGGGAGACAGCCAGGCCAGCGCAGAGCCTGGACCTGACGGCCCGTTTCTCTGTGGGACTCTCCCTCCAGCCTGCTGGATTTGCACTTGCCCATGTTTTCTGTCTCGGGAACATATGCCCTGGAGGAGGTCCTGTCCAGGATGGGTCTCACCGACATCTTCAGCCTCGAAGAGGACTTTTCGGCAATCACCGGACTGCTCAACTACACCGCCTCCAGGGTGAGGGACTCCTGTGGGCCTGGGGTGGGGGGCAGAGAAGGGGGGGTGTCTTTGTCTCCCTTGGCTGTGAAGCATCTGAAAGCTGCTTCCCTGTGCTTTTCCCGTCTCTTCCTTTTGCCCAAGCAAACAGCTCAGTGGCAGCTCCTTTCCACCCACCCGCCTTCTTCTAGAAGGCTCCGTTCTTCAGGACAGGGGTATCAGGTACTGGAGATCCATTTGGGGTCACCACTTGGGGTCCCTAGGGAGTCATAACAGTGTGGACATTGCTTTCCACTGAAGCATCCTTTATCCACAGGGCTCAGTTTCAAAGACTGAGCCCTCCTTTGCAAATCGGCACAGTGTGAAAATGGAAACTGATTACATCTGATCACAGCGCAGAGGAGGACTACATCCTTACCTGACTACATCCTTACATGACCGCCAAGTGGCCTCAGGACAAAGCACTGGGAATCACAGCCCAACCAAGCCGACACAGAACCTAAACCTTCCCACCTCTCACCGCCACAACCGTTATGGACAAAACTCACAGCTGTCGACTGGGTTCTGACTCACAGTGACCCTGCAGGGCAGAGCAGGACTGTCCCTGGGCATTTCTGAGGCTGTACCTCGTTACGGGAGTAGGCAGCCTCATCTTCCTCCTGCAGATCCGCTGGGGATATTGAACAGCTCACCTTGAGGTTAGCAGCCTGACTTGCAGCCCACTGTGTGACCTGGGCTCCTTTCCACACCTGCCAGACATGCACTCTTTTTTTGGGGGGTGGGGGTGTTAATCGTTTTATTAGGGGCTCATACAACTCATCACAATCCATACACACATCAATTGTGTAAAGCGCATTTGTACATTCATTGCCCTCATCATTCTCAAAACATTTGCTCTCCACTTAAGCCCAATCAGTCTAATAGTTTTATTGTTGTCATCGGTGAGAACCGTCGGATAATAAGGTAGTCGATAAGTGAGCAGTGGGTGTACTTCAATTGCTTCTGCTTCTTCCCAGGACAGGTGGTTTAAGGCCACGTGCCTTCCTAGTAGCTCTAGAGCAGTGGTTCTCAACCTTCCTCGTGCCCTGACCCTTTCACACAGGTCCTCATGTGGGGGTGACCCCCAACCATCAAATTATTTTAGTTGCTACTTCCTCACTGTCATTTTGCTACTGTTGTGAATCAGGCGACCCCTGTGAAAGGGTCATTCGACCCCAAAGGGGTTACGACCCACAGGTTGAGAACCACCGGTCTAGAGAGTCATGGGTATTAGCTTTGCCGCAATAACAAGCAGCCCCCCTCCCCCACCGACCTCAGAACCTGTTACAAGACCACCCCCTGCCCGGCCCTCTGCTGACAGGATGCAGGTTGAAGGTTGAAGAAAGGCCCTGCCATTGGGACCGCACAGTTCTCACAGCCCCGGAAAACGGGAGCGAGAGTGCAAGGCTGCTGCTCACGCGTGGCCGCAACCTCAGCTGCTGGCACACCCTGCCAGAGCGAAGGCCGGGATCAGTGGGTGGGGCCGTGTCTTCCCAGGGAGTCACTGGGAGTCCCCAGACAGGGGGAGGGAGGGCATGTAATCCTCTACCAGGGACCGAAGGCCCCTGAGCAGCAGAAGCACTTGGCTGCTCACTGACGCTTGGCAGATTCACACTCACCTGGCGGTAGCACAGAAAAAAGGCCTGGAGATCCTCCTGCACAGAGACGCCAGCCAAGAAAACCCTCCGGAGCAGGTCTGCTCTGTCTCCTGGGATCACCCGGAGTCAGTGTCATGGCCATGGACTATAGACAGAAACAGAACAGGAAAGAGGGCGATGCAAGGAGAGCAGGCAGCAAAGGTCCTGCCTGCTGTTGGGCTGTTTGTGTCCTTCCTCTAGCCCCTCCTCCCTCCCTCCTTCCCTCTACCCACCCTCTCGCCTCTCTCTCTCCCCCTGGCTCCCTCCCTCCTTCCATCTACCCACCCTCTTGCCTCTCTCTCTCCCCCTGGCTCCCTCCCTCCTTCTATATACCCACCCTCTTGTCTCCCCCCCTCCCTCCTTCCCTCTACCCACCCTCTCACCTCTCTCTCTCCCCCTTGCTCCCTCCCTCCCTCCTTCCCTCTACCCACCCTCTCGCCTCTCTCTCTCCCCCTTGCTCCCTCCCTCCCTCCTTCCCTCTACCCACCCTCTCGCCTCTCTCTCTCCCCCTTGCTCCCTCCCTCCCTCCTTCCCTCTACCCACCCTCTAGCCTCTCTCTCTCTCTCTCTCTCTCTTGGCTCCCTCCCTCCTTCCCTCTCTCTTCTTTCTCTGTTTCTAAGAATAAAGCCATTCATCGCCCTCTGAGTCTATGTTCTGAACTTCATAGGAAACCAGCTGAGAGTTGATGCGAAACTAAAGCTTCAAGCAAGATGTGCTTGTGTGTGAGAGAGACAGAGAGCGAGCGCAGAGAGAGACAGAGAGTCCCAACGTGTAAATCAGGAAAACAAAGCAAGAGTTTTGCTTCTTACAAGCTTGCCTTCATCACTAGATGTCTCTCTTCATCGGTTTTCAGAAGGGAGACGGGGCACTAGGCCAGTGTTTCCTTATGGTCCTTACCCTTCTTCCCAGGAAGGGCTGCAGAGGGGGCAGGGCACTGAGCACAGCCACCTGCCACCGCCCCGCCTTCCTTCCCCAGGCTTCTCCAAGAAGCTAGGGTTCCACTGAGCTGGGCTGGAGAACCAGTGGGTTGGGCCCACCGACCCATTTTAAAGACGAGAAGGCCGAGGCCTGGAGAGGTTCCATGTGGTTTGGAAAGGACGCCGAGGCCTGCGTAAAGAGGGCTGTCCAAGAGACCCGTTGGTCCCCAGTGTCGGGGGAACCCTAGAAAATGGGGGCAGGGGAGAGAATGGGGAGAGGAGGGGAGATGATGTAGGGGAGCAGGGGAACCCCACTGCATCCCCAGAGGCTCCCAACAGATGCATCTCTCTCTGCTCTGTCCCCAGGTGTCCCACAAGGCAGTGGTGGACATGAGCGAGAAGGGGACCCAGGCCGGGGCTGCCTCCAGCCTGCTCTTGCAGCCCCAGGCCCCGGCAGCCTCGGCGACCGCAGCAGGGACAGGGCCCCACGCCCATTTCAACAGGCCTTTCCTACTGCTGCTGTGGCACGTGACCACCGAGAGCTTGCTCTTCCTGGGAAAAGTCATCAACCCAGTGGCCGGGTGACCATGATGGGGGCCAGGGGTATGTCATCTCCTCCCCTTCTCCCCTGGGTGAGGGCCACCCCCTCTGTGTGCAAAGTGTGAATAAAGTCGGCCTGGGCCTTGTGACCAATGAGTAGTTATGCCCGAAAGCAAAGGTCAGCTCCCAGAGCCACTCCGATCCCTGCCCGCGCCCCAGGTGTGCCGGGGCAGAACCACACTCCACGGGGCTCCCAACGACTACTGCCTCAGACGTACCTCACTGGGCCTTTCTTCCGAGGCACTTCTGGGGGGACTCGAACCCTCAGCCTTTGATTAGCAGCCACGCCCAGTTAAACATTCACATCCCCACCTCGGGGCTCCTTTTGTCCTGGGATCCTCCTGAATCTTGCATCAAACCGAGGTCAGAAAGCTGAAGATGCAAACCTCTGCTGCTGCAGGTGCCTCCAGGGTCCCCAGAAAAGGGGGGCACAAGAGTCTCTCCCCCGACAGGGATCCATCCAGCTGGACAGCAGGGCCCGCCCTGAGAGGAGGTAGGACTCCTGACCCTGCCCCAGGAGGACAAGGGGTCTGAGGATGGACGCTGAGCCGATGGGTCAACTCAGCCAGGGGTGGGCATGTTGTCAGGAGAGACCAGGAGCAGCCGCATATCCCAGCAGTGGGAGGGGCCGTGTGGCCCCACGGGACAATGGGCTGAGGACGAAAACTTGGTCATGGAATGGATTTGGAGGAGAGTCATTCATTGAGAAAGACTCCCAGGTGGTGTCAATGGTTTGTGCTTGACTTCTGACCTGAAGGTTAGTAGTTCAAGCTCGCAGGGTGGTGCTGTGGTAAAAAAGGCTGGTGACTCGCCTCCCCAAAGACAGCCGGGACTACCCTGAGGAGCAGTCTGCTCTGCTAATGCACGGAGGTCTCCAAGAGTCAGGATCAACTTGCCACAACTGGTTGGGTTTTTCTTTAACTCCCCTGAGATGTGCACTGGCTGGAATCGAACCCAGGTATCTGGGATCAAAGGGGAGAATTCAGCCATTGAACCACTTCTGCCCTCCAGGCAGAGCCTCCACCCACCTGGAAATGGAGACTGCTGTGGTGCCGTAACCTGGAGCAGGCGTCAGTAGAGTTTCTGGATGAAGATAGACGAGGAAGGAAGGGGGAGAATGATGGACACTTCCTGTAAAGAGTCAATGTCCCGGGAACTCCCAGGAATGCAGTCCGACCCTGTCCAACGGGGTCACCAGGAGTTGGCATCAACGTGGCGGCAGTGAGATAGGCCTGGTGATAGACTCCCGAAATTCAGTCCATGAGAAACTAGGGACAAGATCACAGCAGGCTGACCCCCAGTCATGTGGACAACCCAGGGCCCCTCAGCATTTAGCTCCGTTGGACACATGGTCAGTATGAGCCCAGGCTGAACAGAAGGTAGCTGACTACTACGAGTGACACGGGGCATCCCTGAGAGGTCAGGTTCTCCTCCGGCCATGCACCTCTCCAGCCCTCCAAACGAGCAGCCCACACCAAGGGCTGCCCACCTGACAGCATGCACAGCGCAGCACCATCATGCAGGTGGGATCTGGCCCAAGACCTCCCGGGCACAGTGAGGCTGCTGTGGGCCCGGGAAGGAGCCATCCTGGGAGCCCCACCCCCACCGGAAGCCAGGTTCTGCTAGTCTGAGGGAGGACAGGAAGGAAAGGGTATGTCCTACCAAGCACTCAAAGAGCCCTGGCGGTGTCATGGTTACAGGTTGGGCTGCGATCTGAGTGGTCAGGTCGGCAGTTCCAAGCCACCAGCAGCTTTCCATCCCCGTCAACAATTACATTTTCCGAAACCCATGGCGGGTGGGGGGGTGGGGTAGCTGTGAGTCAGCATTGACTCCCGCAGTGAATTTGATCTGGGGAGAGCTGCTCAGAGGCAGTCTGCTCCCACGAAGATTCACAGCCCCGGAAACCCACAGGAGCAGTTCTACTCTGCACTACGGGGTGGCTGTGAACCAGCATCGACTTGACAGCCGCGGGCTTGTTTCGGTTTGGGTTTGGTTTAGAGGATTCCCAGAAGACAAGCTTGGGGGCCTGCTTCTGAAAGACCCCAGCCTTTAAACCCCCACGGAGCAGTTGTCCTGCATGCCTGGGGCCGACGTGGGGCAGGATTGGCTTGCCGGGATTGGCAGCTGATGACAACACGGAGTGTCCATGACATTCCTGGGAAGATGGCCTCGGTCCTAGTATACGTAGCACATTGTTTCCATTCACGCATGTACTCATTCACTCACTCACTCACTCACTCACTCACTCACTCACTCACTCACTCACAACTGCTTGTTGGGCCCCTGCTGGGTGACAAGCAGCTCTGGAAGCACATGGGTGGTGGGGGAGAATGAAATGTACCACCAGGTCATTATGTTTCTGAGATGGGTGTGTGATGTCCCCTAAGAGGCGCTAAGCAAACCTACTTTGTAAGCCAGTAACTTTGGAAGGTGCAGCCTAAGGCCTTTGCCTCTTAGAAACCTTACACAGATGACCAGCCTTGCAGTCAGGAACCTCGTATTGGTGGGTTAATCCAGGTTAATTTCACCTGTATCTGGGCATGTGATCAGAGATGGGTGTTTTCTTTTTTTAATGTAATCATTTTATTGGGGGCTCATACAACTCTTATCACAATCCATACATACATCCATTGTGTCAAGCACATTTGCACATTCATTGCTCTCATCATTCTCAAAACATTTGCTTTCTACTTGAGCCCTTGGTATCAGCTCCTCATTTTCCCCCTCC